GGTGTATTTGCACACACTGTGTGATTTTGTTGTTAGTTTGCTTCCGGTTTTATTATCCAGCCTATATGTGTCTGTGCTTGCAAGGCATACGAGGACTACACAATCTGTTATTCGAGGGTGTGTATTCCACTGATTTGACGATGTTTAAAGTGGTTCAAGTGTTTAAACGCCCAGCACATTCTTCTCATGCAGAATTATATTCAACGTTGTTCGAGACCGTACTGCTACAAAAACTGTAAGGTTAACCTTAGTAAAATTTGTTTCGTTAATGGAACCCCTTTGGTCTGATACCGCGGGTTCGCAGGACGTTGACCAATTGATCAATATTATTCGTCCCATTGCGGTCTACTACTATTACTACTACTACTACAACTACTACTACTACACCTGTCGCTACTACTTGTATGTCTACAACTGTTTATGCAACTACAACTATCACAACTTGTACTACTACTACTACTACTACTACTACTACTACTACTACTACTACTACTACTACTACTACTATTACTACTACTTCTACTACTACTACTACACCTGTCGCTACTACTTGACTACTTGTATGTCTACAACTGTTAATGCAACTACAACTATTACAACTACTACTACTACTACTACTACTACTACTACTACTACTACTACTACTACTACTACTTCTACTACTACTACACCTGTCGCTACTACTTGTATGTCTGCAACAACAGTTAATGCAACTACAACTATTACAACAACAACTACTACTACTACTACTACTACTACTACTACTACTACACCTGTCGCTACTACTTGTATGTCTACAAGAACTGTTAATGCTACTACAACTATTACAACTACTACTACTACAACTACTACTACTACTACTACAACTACTACTACTACACCTGTCGCTATTATTTGTATGTCTACAACAACTGTTAATGCAACTACAACTATTACAACAACTACTACTACTACTACTACTACTACTACTACTACTACTACACCTGTCGCTACTACTTGTATGTCTACAACAACTGTTAATGCTACTACAACTATTACAACTACTACTACTACAACTACTACTACTACTATTATTACTACTACTACTACTACTACAACTACTACTACTACAACAACTACTACTACAACTATTACAACAACTACTACACGTGTCGCTATTACTTGTATGTCTACAACAACTGTTAATGCAACTACTACTATTACAACAACTACTACTACTTCTACTAGTACTACTACTACAGCTTATGTTCGTCACGATATAGCTGAAATATTGCCGATGTGACGTTAAATATTAACTCACTCACTTCAGCTTATGTAAATACAACTACTACTACTATATTGAGGATTCTGGAACATTTAACTGTTATCCATGCTAAACCCTGTTTCTTTTTTTTTAGCTACTTTTGTTATACTATCAATTGTGCTGTTGCATTATTTACACTAGAGCATCTGTTACTCGTGAATATATCAAGGTCATTTGTGTGAACAGTTACTGTCTATATGTAGATGAACGAATCTTGTTTCACTGGACCCGGATTAGGACTAACTGGTTCTTCTTCTGCCACCATGACTTGGTGATTCTGGTGAAATCGTGAGCTACTGGGGCTGTACATAACAAAACCTTTCGTTATTCAGCATGAACGCGACGGGGCCGGGGACCTACCCATGGGGAACACCATGCGTTGAAGTAATGCAATCCAATGTGTACGTAAATGCCGGTGACTGACTGGCGGCGCCCGTACAAATAGGATAACAACTGCTTGAGCAGACATCTATGTCGAAAACTGATCTTTGTAAATAAAAGCGACAAAACCTTTTCCACTTTTTCCACTATCAAACAGTGATGACACCAGGTATTCTTGAGTGTATCCTGTTCCTTTGGGGGCACTCGTTATAAAGACACGCAGAGGCTGGCAATTGTACAGATAATCCTGCATTCCCCGGCTGTGTCATTTTCATTCTCTGGTGAAGTTCTCGGCTCTTTGACAACATTACTTTTTTGATGGTTATTGAAACTTTATTATCAGTTTTGTTTGTGGGCATTGTATGGGTGTTGCTGAAACATTAACATGAAACATCCTGCAGTATGAGAGAAACCACACACACACACACACACACACACACACACACACACACACACACACACACACACACACACACACACACACACACACACACACACACACACACACACCCTTCTCGGTGGGAGTCATGCAGGTAGTACCATCTGGCGTGTAACAATCAGGATAAGAAGCCCAATATTTATGAGATACTTGTGTTTTGATTCAAACAACACCTCTACTTTTTGATTCTGCACTAGCCTAGTGGTTAAAGTACTCGCCCGCCACGCTGAAGACTCGGGACAATGTCAGAAGCCCATACCTCTCTATTATTGAAGTATATGGCCGGGATGATGCTTTAGCTATAGCCTAGTGGTTAAAGTGCTCGCCCGCCACGCTGAAGACTCGGGACAATGTCAGAAGCCCATACCTCTCTATTATTGAAGTATATGGCCGGGATGATGCTTTAGCTATAGCCTAGTGGTTAAAGTGCTCGCCCGCCACGCTGAAGACTCGGGACAATGTCAGAAGCCCATACCTCTCTATTATTGAAGTATATGGCCGGGATGATGCTTTAGCTATAGCCTAGTGGTTAAAGTGCTCGCCCGCCACGCTGAAGACTCGGGACAATGTCAGAAGCCCATACCTCTCTATTATTGAAGTATATGGCCGGGATGATGCTTTAGCTATAGCCTAGTGGCGTTCGCTGTCCGGGCTTGATTTCCCACATGTTTGATGTTGCTGAAATATTGGTAAAACTGGCGTATAACCATATTGATCACTCACTCACTCACTCATATGTAAGGGAACTAACTGATGGTGTCTGTAAGTATACCAGTTCCAGTTAGTGACTGAATTCGCCGAACTGCATAACAAAATAGAAAGCGTAATCATAAAGAAACATAGAATGTCGCCTTCAAAAATCCAAATTACAAGAACGGTAATAACACAGAATGACTTTAGATCTGATACTCACACACGGTTTTCAGCCGTTTTCGGGAAACGGATTCGAACAGGATACTCAATCATTGTTATCTCTATATTGTTTTTGTATGTAGTAGCGTCTTCGTGGTGGGGGTGGGGGTTGGGGTTGGGGGTTGGAGGCGATTATTGTTAATGTCGTTGTGCACAATGTCAGGAAACGAAGGAAATGCATCATCAATGTGAGTCTGTTCCAGTCCCTGTTAAAACTGATGTATCTCACTTGTCGTGTACCACGTGTAAGCATCACTTGATTCCCCTGAAATTGATCTGAAATTCACGGACTAAAACCATATATAGGATGCAAGGTAATGTTGAAAGAATATGTAAGCAAGAACAAGGCAATGTATTGCACAGGTGTTCAAGGACGGTTGGTTAAACCAATTAGACTGTCTTGTCGACCAGTTTTCTGTTAACACTGCCCTCAGCAATATTTCACCGGTTTGATAGCGGCCTGTAAATAGTCGTTTCTGTAAAACAGAAATGGGCTTCGTACATTGAACCCATGTGGGAAATGGAACCCAAGTCTTTGGCGTGACGAGCAATTGCATTAAACACTAGGCTACCCCTCTGGCTCGAGTATGACAAAGACAACCCTTGGATTACAATTTGACCAACGTCCAACACAGTCAGGATACATTAACATACAGTCTGACAGTTCCCCGAACCTGTGTATCCCGTCTTTGTCTTACGGGGGTGGTGGGGTAGCTCAGTGGTTAAAGCGTTCGCTCGTCACGCCGAAGACCCGGGTTCGATTCCCACATGGGTACAATGTGCGAAATCCATTTCCGGTATCCCCCGCGTGATATTGCTGGAATATTGCTAAAAGCGTCGTAAAACCCAACTAACTCACTCACTTTGTCTTACGACATTCATAGCCTGCTTTTGACGTGTAGTAAACAACCATCCTCGCGGAGTGTTCCTACATAACTAAGTCATAGAGATTAAGTAACTCATCACACCATGAATCATGGCTGTAACATGAGTAGGGGACAGCTGAGAGACTGGTGACACGGCCTACTGTCATAAACTATATTGCTGTATAGAAAATGACAACTTGCACTGCATTCAGCTAAATTAGGCATTAATGCAGTTTCAAGTACAATGTCATCGTCAATGCTTATGCACTAACATAAATTGTAGAATTGGTTTAGCTATTTATGGCGTCATTCACATTGGAAGTTGAATTTGTATATACAGATGACAAACACATGCGACATTGACCATGGCAATATCAACTTTATGTAAAGGGACAGTGGCCATGAGAACTGTTTCTTGTATCTACAGATGGTGTATACAAGTGACATTGACCATGGATACGCCTGGGTGGCCCATCACATAATGTATAAACAGGTGGCCTATACAATAGACATTGACCATGCTTTATATACAGGGATCCTGCACGGGATATTGACCATGGAAATAATTTCTTTAAATACAGGGGTCACACATAAGGGATAACTGTTTCTTGTATCTACAGATGGCGTATACACGTGACATTGACCGTGGATATGCCTGGGTGGCGCATCACATATGTATATACAGGTGACCTATACAATAGACATTGACTATGCTTTATATACAGAGATCCTGCACGGGATATTGACCATGGAAATAATTTCTTTAAATACAGGGGTCCAACATAAGGGATAACTGTTTCTTGTATCTACAGATGGCGTATACACGTGACATTGACCGTGGATATGCCTGGGTGGCGCATCACATATGTATATACAGGTGACCTATACAATAGACATTGACCATGCTTTATATACAGAGATCCTGCACGGGATATTGACCATGGAAATAATTTCTTTAAATACAGGGGTCCAACATAAGGGATAACTGTTTCTTGTATCTACAGATGGCGTATACACGTGACATTGACCGTGGATATGCCTGGGTGGCGCATCACATATGTATATACAGGTGACCTATATCTAAAGATCAACCACAAGTCACGACACAATTTGAAGAATCGACTTCTTTAAATGAAACCAAACACATTCGGAAAATGATATGTTTTAACTGGCCTCTGTTTCGTAAAACATTTCACATATTTGGACAATTTCCCTTTGTCGTGTATAGCTTGAGCATTATGCTTTGGAGTCTAGGAGAAGCTGCTTGGGTGTTCCATTTGCCGAACTACGCTGAATACAAAGGACGATCTCCTTCAGAGGCTGCAAGTCTCCTAACTGCTATGGGAGCAGGGAGTATGTTCTCACGGGTATTTGCGGGGATAGCAGCCTCAGACTCCAATATAGATGCCGTGTTGCTACAAGTTGGGCTATCGGGTTTAGCAGGAACAGTTTCATTCTTGTTTACCGTTGGTTCATCTTCGTACATGTCACAGCTGGCTTTCAGCTACTTTTATGCGACGTACAGTCAAGGTATTAATACTCTCATCGGACCAATCATCATAAATCTGCTTGGCTTGCCCCACGTTGCCGTTGCCTATGGAATCGTGTGTTTCTTCTGCGGGCTTGGTCACTTGTTGGGACCTCCTATAACAAGTACGTACATCAGGGATATGTCACATGTGATCATGGAGAGATAATGTTTCAAGTGAATCTATACACGTATGTCTGATTTCATCGCTTCACAGCTGTTTACCATTTCTCTTAAAGGCTCAGTATGTTATACCCATGGGTAGCTCATATCTGTTCTTATTTATATAATAACCTTGGGGTAGGCTCTCAGTTTTCAATCTCGAGGGGATGACAGCTAATGCCCGAGGAAGATGAAACAATTTTACCACAAGAATTGACATGGTTGCTTTGAAAAATATTTGTGTTCGTCTTTGAGTATGCATTCCTCGCTAAACTATCAGAAGGACAAACTACTAACAACAGAAGGAGAGCTCCGTGCAGATCGAGGTCACGATGCTGTTGCCAAAGAAGGTAGTATGGGAAATAGCAGATGTTGAGTGGTAAAATAATTGTTGAATTAATGAAGTGTTGCAAGTATCTTGAGTTGATGTTACCCGTATACTGAAATATTCTCACGTTCTATCGGTAAATTATTATCATTGGCTTTTGATTTTTTTTCAGGCACCTTATACAAAGGAAGTGGAATATACGAGTACACGTATGTCTTTGCAGGTGTGGTTCGAATGTTTTAAATCTTACCTGCAGCTCGGTAGGGATGTAAAGCAACCTACGAAACAAAGATACAGACAGACGTCTCGTCCTATCGTGATTTCATGGCAAATGTACATATGCAACATAACTTCTATTCAAACGAATGTGACCATATAGGATCGGTGGCTCGCTTACGCTATCACCCTCGTGGTTCCCAGGCTGGTATAGATACCACCTAACTAGGGGCCCTATCTGGGATCTGTTTCTCCTTCCAACGCAATGGAGCGGGCCGAATTCTGCAACTATTGATTTTAATTTGATAGCCGCCTGCCGGTTTTCTTATCGGTGAGGCGAATTGACTTCATGGTTGATTGCCGACACCACCGCTAGGTAACCTCGTATTGACCCATTCAGTCGCATCGCTTTCCCCGGGCCGCCAGCTCCCAGCATGATACTGATGTCCCGGAATATAGGCGCTCAGCCAAAGTCCCATTAAATCTCTCAACTATGTGCTTGGCGTGCGATGGGCTCCAGCCGCGCTTTCACGCCTGACCTTTTGTATCGCAGGTTTGGCCAGCGGTTGTGACATCGCCACCCATGAACTCCGGTCCGGGTCAACTTGCAGCTCTGTTGGCCCACGTCAGCGGATCATGCTTTGTATATGTCCGTTCAATCCTCTGGCTACCTGGGCTGATAATCTTTCTCAGCGGTCAAGGGTTCGGCTTCCTTGTAGCGACTGGCTACGCCCACTAATGGTTAAGGCATACTTGTACCCTCTTTGGTCGGGGGTAGGGAACAGTAGGTCTGCCTGGTGAACGCTATTAGGTATGTTAATACCGAACCTCCTTCTAGGCATCGCCGATGATGGTGCCGGCAAATAGATCTGCTTACAGGGCTTGTTTTTCAAGCCACGCTTTGACTCCTCGGCGGGTTCGCTCGCCATTTTAGTTAGCTTATCTACAGCGCTTAGCTCCTTTCCAGTACCCACGCGGGCTGTAGTAAATAGCCCTCAAACTTTCTTTTGGTTCCGCGGATATGTTCAATTTTCTCATGCCCATAACTGCATAGCGTGTTTATCCCATCAATAGCTATCCAACGCTTAGTGTCCATAGGCTGGCTACAGGGACGTCTTGTTTATAGTCAGTCCGTGATATATCTTATGCCCATCACTTCTAAGTGTGTTCATTTTATGCCTAAAGGTACGTGGGTCTTGAACAGGGCTTCCCTTTGAATCTGGCGTGTTTGATGTGTTGTTTCACCACATACTTCTTAACACCCTTTAGCCTTCCGGATTTCACCATTGTCGGCCTTCAGTATGGAGTACATCTTAGGCCTCAACCCTATGTACTCGGCTATGGGCTGCCAGCACACTCATCCTTCATCTTACCTAGGACCTTTTATTTTACCGTGACTGTATGGCATGGCCCTTAGGGTAGTCGCTGGTGTCATACAAATCGAGGTGTTTTTTCATGTCCTCGTGACACGCCCTCGGTTCGAATCTCCATCAGCAGGAATCCGCGGTCAGTGTACAGAACTTCACACCTGTCGTCGTACTGTTTCTTGAGCTCGCTGTAGTAAAAGTCGTACATCAGGTGTTTGATAAATCGAGGATGCTCATCCCCACGTAAAACAGGCCGGTTGAATTTTATGTGGCTTTTCTTCATGTGTAGGGCAACTAGGTCATCGGTGAATATTTTGCTACGGTTGAATGCCGGACTGGCTATCAGTCTCCTGGAGCTTGTCTTCCTCATTCGACCAAACCAGCTTCACGGGTCACGCCGCTTCCTCAGGTTTTCCATAGTCTTACCAAACACCGAAGTTGTTCATGAGCTTGTAGAGATTTTCTCAAAGTCACTGGTTGCAAGCTGGAGGTCTGTGTTCATTCTGATGTAGTAGTTCCATCCAGGGGCTCTGGGTGAACACGAGCACCCTGTGTATTTTGGTCAGCCTCATACCCAACGACAGCAGGTACAGCTGTAGGTTGGGCGATAGTGAACCATGTACTTGGTCTTATTCATTAAGTTGGGCACGAGTTTTTCAACGTCTGTCACACGCCCACCTAACAAGTTATGTTGGTACTGTGACATCCAGTCTGGGTTAACCCTCATACGTTCGGGGCCAGGGGTAGCTGTTGTGTGATGTGTGTAATGCCTTGGGGCATTCCAAGTCAACCTCGAGGATATAACCTTTATTCGAATCTGGTGCGATGCTCATAACATCGACCTCCTGTGACGCTCCATTCGAATCCCCTGTGGGTAGATACTGGCTCATGGCCCAGCCATACAGGTTGTTGGCGTCGAGGTAGAGAATGTGATTGGTTGGTTTGCTAGGTCGTAGCCCTTAACGTATTGATTATTTGCTTCGCTACGTATCGCTTTGGTTGCCATGGAGATCCCACCTCGCAAAAGCCTTTCTCAATGAATAGGTGTGTGTCATAATCTGTAAGCAATTCCAACTTAACTCCGGTCTTTAAGCAAAGCATCCCACGACAGACCTGGGCTGGTGTAATACCATGCGGGGTCGAGTTTATGCACTGCTTGAAACATGTCCGCCTAAACGTCTCAAACACGTCGGCTAACAGCAGTACATCTGTCCTCGGGCACAGGTCAAGATAATCCCCCAGGTTCTTACAACCCAGTTTATTCCATACATTAATAGCATGGGAGTAATCATCTTGGGATATTTCCGAGTCTGTCCAGATTGCTGTAAAATTCTCTGATGGGGGTAGTCTGGTCTCAGCTTAACTTGGGCCAACTATCCATGTGTACTCATAGGGGTACACACCCTTCCTCATAAGCAGGGGTCTAGTCTCGGGTGTCTGTGTATCGGTCGGGTGATAGGGAAGGTATCGTTGGCCTTGACCGGACTGTTCAATGAAGACAATAGAAATTGTACTGAATCTATGAACCTAAGGCCGTTTAAGCTGAAGGAGATGTATCTCTCCATGTTGTTGGGGATGCACGTTATATTACCATCGATTTTCGCGATTGCCTGCATGATTAAGTGAGAGTCATTATCTCTCAAGTTGTGAAAGACAACGGGATGTTTATTGTCTTAGGGTTGATTCTAAGCTTGAGGTTACATCGTGCTGTGAGCTGCATTCTATACTTCACCGTTACGTGGCAGTGATCTCTCACCTAATCACCATTCAGTGGTGAGTCACACACGTGACAGTTAGTGCTACAGGCGTGAGCTAGCCTGTCGGCTCGGGTCATACGATGGGAGCGACTCTATACAGTGCATTCCTACACAATTTTTTCTTCCTCCTGCAAACACTTTAGAAACCTTTCAGCCGCCAGGGCCCCTACCATACACCACGGAGCTTTCGCTTCCCCATCACAACGGACGACAATGTATCCAAACCCACAGGCTTCATGCTCCCTGTGTTTTGAGTGTGGTGGGGGTACCCCAACAGCCTCAACTGGTTTAACCAAGGCTTCAAAGTCGGGCGTATATGATATAAGGCACAGACATTTGGTTCTTGTGTTTACCGAATTTTAGGATATTGTCACCTTCTTTAGGCATGTCGACTCGTATAGCCGCCTGCCCCACACCTTATGGCAATCCTCCCAGTGGGATTCTAATAAATCAGCTCGTGTGAAGCCATGTAGGCACCGCTCGCAGAAGTGGGTCTTTTCTCTGTGCGCCGATTGGTCATACAACAGCCTGCTAAAGTGTTTTATCCAAGCTTAGGTGGTACTTGTCACCTCGCTGGATCATGAATATATTGATAACACGAGGGGGTTCCCCTTGGGGTTCTTCCCACCACTGGCTGACCCTGTGCACTATTGTTGTGTTACCTTCGTGCCCAAAGACATTTATAGCTAGATTATTCTGTTTTTCTATTTTAGTTATCTGGGGATATGGGGTGGGTTCATCTATACCATCCCAGTTGAGCCCATCGTCTTGGGGATAACTAGAAGGCCCTGTTCGAATTAGTGCCAGCTGGAAACAAGGCTGACCTGATAGCTAACCTCAAGCAATCGTCTCCTCTATTCCTGACGTTGACTACGGCATGTTTTTTCCTACAGTAGGGAGGCAAGTCTAGGTATGACCCGCCTCTGAACGGCATCGAAGTTAGCTGCGTCTAGATAGACATTATCGATTTTATCTACAGTCCACCGACCCTAAGTGTGTGTAGCTTCTAGGTATTCTCTTTATCTGCTGAAAACTAGTATCGATTGATGCGTCAATGGTCTCTATATGGGTCACGACCTCTTGTTTACCCCCGGAAGTAAGGCTGAACGTACCAGTGACACCTCCCCCACCCGTGCTTATCGAGTGACATTTTAACTGTGATTTGAAATTTGATACTTCCTAGACTGGTTAGTTCCTGGTTGACCTTATCAGCTATCAGAGGTTTGATATCTGCGATATCTATGTTCCTATCAACATGCATACGCCAGCCTCTCAAATAGTTGCCTACAGCACGCTCAGTGCGCACGAACTGTAGGTTGACAGCTCTATTCTGCCGTAACAGTTCTACAAGCTGTGGTTTTCTCATTCGGGAATATCCCCTAACCCCAAATCACGTGCCTGGAACTTTTCAATTGTTTTACAGTGGGAGGTTTTGCTACCGGGGCATGTGATAACAATGCGATTAACCCGCCTCCCAGGTTTGAATAACCCGTGAATCCAAGCTGTTTTGCTTTGAGCTTTTAATTGTTTTACCGTAGGAGGGGCTTCTAAACCTAGTAATTTCAACAATGCTGGTTTGGGCATTCGAGAATACCCAATTACACCCTCTACCTGGCTTAAATTCGCTTAAGTTCACCAACAGTGGCCATAGTTGCGCATTACATACACCTAAGAGAACCAATGTCTAATTGGCTCCACCGTGAAGGTAAAAATCAAGATACACCTTATCGATTATTCCCTCAACTCCACCCGGAATATGCGCAGCATAGTAGGGTGTTTTGTATTACTTGCAACGAGTCGCCAACAAGTATATCTATATCCCCATGCACATCTACTTACCACCATCAAAGTAATTCCAAGTGTGCCCAGTCCATGGCACATCA